GGCTATTGTTGAGAGTGCTGCTATGAACATTGGGGTACATGTGCCCCTATGCATCAGCACTCCTGTATCCCTTGGGTAAATTCCTAGCAGTGCTATTGCTGGTCTTGGGGGGTTCTATTGTTAATTTTTTGAGGAACCTCCACACTGTTTTCCAGAGGGGCTGTACCCGTTTACATTCCCACCAACAGTGTAGGAGGGTGCCCGTTTCTCCACATCCTCGCCAGCATCTAGAGTCCTCTGATTTGCTCATTATAGCCACTCTGACTGGCATGAGGTGGTATCTCAGTGTGGTTTTGATTTATATTTCCCTGATGAGGAGGGATGCTGAGCATCGTTTCATGTGTCTGTTGGCCATCTGGATGTCCTCTTTGGAGAAGTGTCTGTTCATGTCTTCTGCCCATTTCTTCACTGGATTGTTTGTTTTGTGGGTGTATGGCTCTTACAGTTTTAATCACAGAGTGTCCCGGAGTTGTTGGGTTCATGGTCCTCAGTTTCCCCATCCATCTGGTGGGGAGGGTGGTGAACTAGGTCATGTGCACAGACTCTGCTCCCCTCTGCAGCCTTGATTCTATGAGCTAATGTGTTTCTCTTGTCACTGAATCTGGGTTTTGGGGACGAGGAGTGTAGTTATTGGTGGCTTTCTTGGGAGCCCACCGATTGCAGGTCTGACCCAGCAGGTGTAGGCCGTGGATCCCGGGGGAGGAGGCTCTGTGCTGTCCACGTGGCACTTCTTCATCCTCTAGGTGGCATATTCATCACTGAATTACACAGGCCCATTTAACTCCTGACCTGATGCTTACTTTGGAGCAAAGAGTCACCGGAGGCAAGAAAAGCGGGGAGCTCACCTTTCTGAGGCTGGTCTGATGTGGGCAGGGCTGCCTTGGGCTGAGGCTGAGGACTGTGGCCACTCCTGGGTCCCTGACAATCTATAGCTCCAGACAAGCTCCCCTCAGACTTTCAGTGCCTGCCTGGCTCAGGCAGCCCAGCCTCTCAGCCCACTTACATGTGACTCTTTTTAACATTCATTTAAAAGTAATGTTTCTGATTTTAAAAGAAATTCACATTGGGGCACCTGGGTGGCTCAGTTAGTTAAGTGTCCCACTCTGGCTCAGGACATGATCTTGCGGTTTGTGAGTTCAAGCTCCGAGTCAGGCCCTGTGCTGACAGCTCTGAGCCTGGAGACTGCTTCAGGTTCTGTGTCTCCCTCTCTCTCCCTGCCCCTCCCCTACTCACTCTCTCTCTCTCTCTCAAAAATAAATAAACATTAAAAAAAGCTAAAAAAATAAAAGAAATTCATATTTGCTATAGAAAAACGAGAAAAATTCTAAACAGACAGAGAGGAAAATGTCTAGTATTCTTGCCATTGAGAGTGTTCACCGTTCTTCATATGCAGTCTCCTCACACATGAGCTCCGTTTGTGAGGGAGACCTGGAGGGGGTCTCAGTCCTTGGGTGGCTCCCTGGTTCGTGGCACAAGCACCATCCCAGCAAGGGCTGCAGTTCCCCATGGAGCCCTGAAGGGTGTCTGTGTGTGTGTGGCTGTGTTGAGCGAAGGCCAATGGGAAGAGTGGACTCGGGAGTTGCCCGAATGTGACTCTGTGTGTTTCCTGCTGCTGCTGGAAATGGCCCCAGGCTGGAAACCCACCAGAGGCGTGGGGCTGTGAAATGGGCTCTCAGAATTCCCTTTGTAAAGTTGACATTTGTGATTTGTCCCGAGCTCCTCTTGGTGTCTGCTATCTGCTGTATCGACCCTTACTCAGAGCTAAGGTAGGAGGCCACGCTGCATTTGAAGCTCCTGTTACAGTACTGGAGAACTGAAATGCCACCAGAAAGTTCTGGTCCCACCTATCAATGAACTGTACAAACTGGGACCAGTTACTCTTGGAGCTTCAGTTTCCTTACCTGGAGAGCGGGGATGAGTAATGCCCACCCCTCGGAGTTGCCGGGATAGTGACAAGAGGCAACTGTGGGTGCTGGTATAGGTGACCTTCCTTTTTGTCTCCGAGCAGGCTTGGAAAGGAACAGAGAGAGGTCCAGATGGGCTTGAGGGGAGAGGAAGGTGCCTGGCCCTGGCCTGGGAAAGCCTGTCCCCGTGAAAGGAGGCAGGCACATCCCAGCTGACGCAGCCTAGACTACCTCGGGAGGGCTGATCCTACAAGTGGGCCCTGGGGCTGGTGGCCCCTCCCCCTTCCTTCCTTCCGTAGGTATTTTCCAAAAGCCTGGCCTGTTTCAGGCATGGTTCTAGGTGTACACAGAGTGGTGAATGAGACAGGAAGACACCTGACCCCTTGGGAGTCTGCCGTCTTGAGGGGGAGAGAGTAGCGGGGGAGACGGACAACAGACACATCAACAAACCAACAGCCCACCTACCATCTGTGGCTAATGCTGTGAAGATTTGAGCAGAGTGGAACGTAACCAGGGAGCCTACATTGGAAGGAGAGGATACGAAGGATCCCTGAGGAGGTGGTGGTCAGATGGAGCCCTGAAGAGAGACTGAAGTGTGAGGAGAGCTTCCGAGGCAGAGGGAGGGTCTTTTCACTCAGGCGAGGAACGTGCCCTCTTTTCAGAGGGACCCAATGGTTACAGAGCAGGCCGCCTGCCTGGTGAGATCCAGTTTGGCCACTTATTATTTGCCCTTAGTCTTCTCATCTGCAGAAGGGGGTAACTATGGAGCCTACTTCCTAGAATTGCTCTGAAGCTGAGAGGCATGAGACAAGCTTGGAGCCGTGCCCGGCCCACACGAGCATTTGCTCTGTGTAATACAGCTCTGTGTAGGGCTCTGCTGTGATGCTGCCATGAGCATCTGAAAGCGAGGTCTGTCCAGCACATGGGAAGGAGGCTAGGGCAGTGGGGGCATGATCACACAAGGGCTTGGAGGCTGCTGGGAGGAATTGGGGTTCATTTGACCAATATGGATTTTGGTTCCTGATGTCCAATGCAGCTTCTTCCAAAGCTGGTGAGCACTTTCAGAAAGAGACGAGGGACTGCTTTGTGACCCCTCCCTTGTCAGAAGGGGAGAAGTGATTGGCCCACCCACATGGGGCCTGGCCTCAGGGACAGGTGTTAAATCCCAACCGTCCTTGGCAGGGCTACGGTGGTCCATCTCTTGCTCACCTTGTAGCATCTGGCTTTGGCTCTGGCCCGGGATGACTAGGGGTGGGGAGGGGCACAGAGGCTGTGGGGATGTGCATCTCCTATGGGATCACACATAGGGGCCACCACTTGACCTGTCCTGGGAGCTCAGAGAGTCTCTCAATGTATGTCATTCCAACAGCCAAGGCTCGGCACTAAGTCTTTGTGACTCCTGTCCCCATACCTGCTGTACTGGGGAGCTGGAGTCCACTGGTGTCCCTCAAGGATGGGAGTGGTGCTAGCGCTGTGCAGTGCTCTTTACTTCTCTCCTTGGAACTCAGATGGGCGACCGGAGCACAGGATTCTGTGGCCAGACTCTCTCTATCCTCCTCCACCACACACACACACACACACACACAGACGACTTTCTCTGGTTGCCCCCATCTTAGGAATGGCATCTCCATTCATTTGGGTGATCAGGCCCAAACCTAGGCATCATGTGTGAACCTTTCCTATCCATCACCTTCCTTGTGGTCCATGAGCAGTCTGCCCAGGTTGTAACCTTCATCATAAACCAGAATCTGGCCACTCCGTATCATCTTCCCTCCAGCCACGTTGAGCCAAGCCCCCTTCCCCTAGGACTCACTATCCCATCCCTGGTGCAGATAAGCTTGCAACACTCTCTACTCCAAGCTGCTGAGGCTTCCTTGCGCTGCATCCTGAACAGCCTGTGGGGCAGTCTGGCCCTGATGACCCTGACCCATCTGCCACTGTCCTTGCCTGCAGTCTCTGGCTTTGGTCAGTCTGAATACACCTCTGCTCCCTGAACAGGTGACTTCAGTTCCTGTGTCTGTGCCTTTGCACTGCTCTTCTCCCTGGCTACGTGCTCTTTCCTGGACATTCACACAGCTGTCACTCTGGCTAGTTGTACTCAGATCTCTGCCACGCATCGTGCTCCATTCATGTTTTCCATAGCACATGCCACCGCCTGTCTTTGCATCAGGGGCTCGAGGGCTCCAGCATGCCTCTCCATTAGAGCTGTACTCCGTGACATTGGGTCTTGCTATCTTATTCCTACTGATTGTAACTAGGCTCTAGAACGATGCCGGGTGCTCATGGGATAGTTGTTGAATAAATGCACAAAAGAGGATGACCTATAGGTACTCTGAGGTGCTAGCCTCACGCTGAGCATGGCAGGATATGTACTCACTATATTGCTGGAATGGTTTGTGTGCTGCTAGCCAGCAGGCTTGGGGCCAGCCAGTTGTTCCTAAGCCCCGTTGCACACATCGGACCTATGCTAAGTGCTTTCCAAACTGATTCCTTCAGAGGTTCTCAAACCTCAGTTCACGGTACCCTGAGGGTCTCAGTTAATTTTTCATGACTCTCTTGGGCCATGAGAAAAACCTAGCAGTTTTGTTCATTCAATGGTTAGGTCTAAGCAACTCAGTAAGTGTTAATGTCCCAACAACTTAGTAGCCATTGGAAAAAATGGCTGGGTTGCCTTTGTCTTGAAAGATCGAAAATGTCCCTGCAGTGCCCCTGTAAGTCCTCAGGGTTCCTTTGACACATAGTTTGGGGAGTATGGGATTACTTCACTGGATCCTCGTAATGAACCTGTGAGGTAGGTATCATTCCATTTTGTAGAAGGTGAAGCCAAGACATTGGCCCAAGGCCACCCTGCTGGTCAGTGAGGGAAGCAGGACTGGTCAGGTCTCCCCAGTGCTTTGGGCTGACAAAGGCTGTCCCTTGGGCTGACAACTGGATCCCTCTTGCTGCGCATCTTTGGGGTCCCCAGTACTTGTCATGTCACCTCTCCCTGTAGTGTCCTGAACCGATCGGAATCACTCGGCCCCTTGCCCCTACCTCGTGTCCCTAGGAGACAGAATGTGAGCAGTGACGGCAGACTGTTGCTTTTCCTCCTTTCAG